CGATTTCGACTCCGGGCCAAATGAGTCATGAGGAGAAAAAAGTCCAGGAATGGTTTGCAAGTTTAGAATAAGCTGTAACATCTCCATCTGCCTCTGGCAATCAAACAATGACAATTAATTACAATCTTTGTAGCACTCCGAACAGACTGGTCGCAATGTTCTAGGTCTACATACTGAAGATAGCAAATTCAGAAATCCTGATCCATTCAGTAGTAGTCTTGTGTGAAAGCTTACAGGTGCCTGGAGCTCTTTTGTGCATGACTCCCAAACAGAGGGGTGCTCACTCCAGAAGATAAAGTACTCTGCCCCCATGAGTCATAGATGCTGGGAAGAGCCCGAGTATTCTATTACCACTGTTCCAACATGCACGGCTCATGCACAGCTTTAGCCACAGACACGTCTGGAGCGCGAAGCTCTGAACCTTCTGCAAACAGAGCCGGGCTTTAGCATTAGCTCGGTCTACCTGAGGTTTATTCTTAGTCTGGTTATGCACACCTTGGTATGCTCTGTCCCTGAAGGGATTACGGCCACTTGTGACTCCTTTCGGTGCTGTAGTGGGAGAGAGATCTGTTAGAGATAAAAGGCTTTGGGCTGATCAAAGGAGAAGCCAAAGAAAGGCCTCAGCCAAGGCTGAAAATATCTAACTGCCTACTCTTACAAACAGCTCTCAAGAGAAAACCTTAAATGGTGTGCGCTTTAAAAAGATATAGTTTATCTTTGAGGTGAAGGATACTTGAAAGTAGGAAAAATAATAGGCCGTACAAGGTAAGTCTCCAAAAATTAGGGCTTTTTTGTATTAAATGACTAATAATTAGGACAGGAAAATAATCAACGCAAGGTTGTCGGAGTACACAGAGAAGAAGCCCACAAAACCTGTTCTGGGCTTTACATGGTCTGGTTGTACTACTCCACTCAAAATGAGTTCTCTTCAAGCACGTCATACAGGCATACCATGGAAGCAGAGTCCTAATTACACTGCAGCTCTGGGTCAAGTTTGGCCTCAGATTTAATTTGGACTAAAGAACAACATCATTAGAGACTGGCTGCAATTAGGCCTACAATCAAGAAAAATATAAGCTCAAGTACTTACAAGTGGGACATACCTGGGACAGTATTTAGAATTTCAAGCAATCCAACACAGAAGAAAACATCCTGTCAGTGCACGGTGAGGCCAAGTTACTCATGCAGTGTAACTGCACCGCTGACCACAGTGTACTCTATCAGCCCTTACAAAGCCACATAAGTGTGTTTCCTTAAGTTCTTCTTATTTTGTGGGCAGAAAAGAAACAGATTAAACAAAAACAACAACAAAAAATTGGCCTGGACTTTTTAATTACATCTAAAGTTTGTCCACAGCTTTCAGTCTGATCTTGAATCTCTGATGCAAACCATGCAGTAGGGATGTTCGATAATATCAGAATTATATTGGTATTGGCAGATAATTGCATAAAATAAAATTATCGGCATCACGTTTAGATTTGAGCACATTTCAAGCAAATATATGATGCCATATTTATTTGACCCTTGGCTATTCTTTTAAAACAGGCACGTCAAACTGGGGACCTCCTGAGCTAAAGTGCTGCGAAGATTGGCATTTACCCTCATCTGATGCTCTGAATTCAGTTCATGAAGGCCTTGCTAATTAGATGATGAGCTGAAATAGGTATGTTTAATGAGGACGTATGCTGAAGTCTGCAGTGTTTTGGCCCAACAGGACTAGAGCCTGACACGTGTTCTAAAATGACTGGACGTATACAAACAGAGTTACTTGTATCTGTAATGCTAACACAGTTAAACCATGTTCCAATTTCCACATATTATAAATGTTTATGTATCGGATATCCGGCATCGGCCTACAGTTTCCATATCAATGCACCCCTACTACGCAGATATAGATCAGGGTAATCCAAAACATGCAATTTTATGAAATTAAAAGATCCCGGTTTGTGAGGTCTGCCACTAATGTCCTCCAGTGTAGCGGAACTGGAAGATTAAAAATGCCACATGTACACATGACATTTGCTGGTCACTAATTGCAGGGGGGGGGGTTTGGCAGGAATTAGATGTACATTACGTGGTAAAATGACCACCCTCTGTTTAAGCCTTTTTACAACACTCCACGACACACATGTAATTTACTTTGTGTGACAGACAGCATTTTCTATGCAGTATTTGTGTCCTCTTATTTGCATTTTCTCGCTTTGTTTTTTTCCACCACTGAAGGATGACATTATCACAACACCACGTTTGACTCTTTCAGATGACAGTATGCGTGTCCAAAAAATTCAAATGCTGAAATTACATCCTGGCTAAGTCCAAACTGACTCAAAAAGTATGTCTTCAGCTACAGTTGGATTACAGGTGATACCTATGGATAAAATGTACGCGAATGTGAATAAAAAAAGAGCTGTGGATTTGATACACCACATAAAGCAGGACCCAAGTGTGGGTGGGTCATTAATTAAGCTAATAATATTACAGCAAATCACTCTCTGAATGCAGCTTGACATTGCTATGTCCTAATAACTCACCATGCAAGTGGACATCAAAGGCCTCAACTAGAAGCCTCCAATTTTGCCCAATTACCCTCGCTCCAATCCTCACAGCTTTCCAGTCACTGACACTTTAAGCTCATAAACAAAGCCCTAACGAAGCTGCGCTCTTTCACAGTGCCTCAATAATGTCTACATTCTAGTCATTATTTCTTAGGACAATAATCAAAATCACTTTTGGGGACACTTTGCATAAGTAACAAGTAATGAGTGGTGAAGCCACAGGATTATGGTATTTCACAAGCAGTTTGTGAAACTGCTGGGCTAATGTGAATTTCTTGAACAACGCTAGTGCAGCAGATTAAATCCCATCTCAGGCCTCACGCAATTTTAATCTTGGAGGTGCTCAGAACACAGCATGGCGTTGACTTGGCAGCGAAATCTGCTCATTCCCTTAAACGAAGCCCTTTTCTCCCGACAGAGCACAGTTGAGTTTAATTTAAAACTGATTACAGCCACTCCAAAAAGTGTGCTGAAATATGAGCTGGAAAAGAATGTCTTCAGTGCCTGAGAAATTGGACTTGGCAAGTTCATAAACTGACAAGGATTCTGTTCTTGAGAAGAGGCTTGGGACGAGAGCCAGAGGCTTCAACAGCGTAAACCACTAGCTAAACTCCATCTTGTGGCAAATTAATTGGCAGGTATGTTTCTCTCCTATTCAAAGTCTCTAAAAACCCAAAAGTCTTGTGTTTGCATTCTTCACTGGGGTACGGACCATGTGTCTTCCACTTTAAAGCTGAGGAATGCACATCTGGATAAATGTTCCCCCCATGTATATATTTTCCAATGACAGCTCCTCTACGAGAGCGTTTCTCAACTGCGCTCAGAAGAGCAATATGAAAAATGGGAAATATCTACAAACAATCTCTAAGACTTTGGGGTTTTCAACTAGCAAACAAAACTTGCTGAGGCTGGGTTTGTGTGCAATTCGGCTTCAATACAAAGGATTCAATACAAAGTCCAAAAGCTCTACAAGTGATTATGAGAATTAAGCGCTCGTCTCCTACTGAAGCCTGAAAGGTTCAAAACAATCTCTCTACTTGCAAGTAGTTCACCAAGAGGCGCTGTAACAATAGTCTGGCTGTTGTCACAAGACCCCTATGCAGGTAACGCTGAGAAAAATAATGCAAGGGAGACGTAAACAAACCAGCCATGAGGGCACGGCACTGATTTCGGTCCACAGTTAGACCACACAGCTTCCAGCCTGAATAAAGCTCTGTTTCAGTTCATGTAGTGTAAGTGACCAACTACATATAACTACTTAACGTACACTAATGTTCAAATATATGTTCATTCGGAACCACTTGTCATATTAATCATTGTAATTATATTCAGACTGAACTCATACAGTGTAGACTGTAATACTGTAAGCTAGACAACTCAAGGAATTTCAGTATTTCAAGCTTTTGAAACAGCAAGAACTTATTAAATGATAAAAAGAGTCCTATAATTAATTATTTTAAAAATCAGTTCTATAGTAAGTTATTTGACATATTTTATCACCTTGTTGCAAATACAAAGCATTTTGGGTAATAATTTTGTTATAATTTAATTCTAAATGTTTTATAGATTTCTTAATCAATCATTTCTTAATCATTAAGGAATCTCATTATATATATATATATATATATACACATATATATATATATATATATATATACATACATACATATATACACACACGCACATTTTTATACACACATATTTATACATATATGTTAGAATTTCGTTCTCAATGTGTTAAAGGTTTCTCAGTTATTAAGGAATCATGTACAGTTCTGTTTATCATAATAGTTGAAATCTGTAGAGTAATATCATCGTAATAGTATATATGTATATACAGGAAAGGGTGGCCCATAAATAAATAAATAAATAAATAAGGTAAGTTTCTCAGACTCATCATATACAATGACTGGAAAACTCTTGTCGATTCATTGGATTCCACTTCCCTCGCACTGTGTAATTAAAAGTCCCTGGATTTACCAAATTATTTTAACCCAACACTGTTTACAGCTTTCTTTCAGCTCAGACCTGCAGTGAGCCATTAGACAGAGCCCGTTAAAGTCGTTAATCGTTATTTTCCTTCTTCATCTCTGACAGAACTGAGCGCCGAGTCGAGCTTCCCAGAGCTACAGTTAACCGATGAAAGAGTATAGAAAATGGGAGAGCTCGTGAAAGAAGTAAAAGAAAACAATGTGAGAACAAAATAACGACATTCTTAGTTTTGTAGAAAAAAAAAAACGAGCTAATGGCGTTACAAAAACACCGTTTACTTCCACAGGGCGACGTTTTCCTCGGGGAACAGTTTAGTTAGTCACTTATCCCTTTGGAAGCCCGTGCTGTTCCTTCCTTCACTTTCACTACCCCTCATTTTCACTCTGGGCTCTGACTGAACGTCCTTAAGGTTTAAATGTAACCTGCTGTGTCAGTGTTAGAATAAAAGCTTACCTTAGTTATCTTCTAATGTTATACAGGCATTTTGACTCGGTTGCCCTCCATTGCTTTAGCAGGCAGAAGTTTGTAGCCTCGTAGTAATTGTACAGGCTTAAGGACACAGGCTGGCGCAGCCTTCCTTCACTGTCATTGGAAGAGGCGCCTGTCAATCAGTGAAAGACGGCCCCCACATTTCCTGTGTATGGACGCATAGCTTAGACATACAGATATGTACAGCAAGACAGGGTTCTTTATTAAAGACAGTGGCCCTATACAGAACCATGAACACTCAAAGAACCATTTGCATGCTTAAATGGTTCTTTACATGGTAAAAAGGTTTTTCAGACTGATGGAGAATGTGTTGTATATGGTTCTATATCTAAACCTTTTTGAAAATGGTTCTATGTAGTACCAAATGACCGATGTCAAGCTTGTAATGAAAGCAGAACCTAAAAGCAAAAGACTCTTTAGTATGTAAGACTTATCCAAATTAACTGGCCTTAACTATTAACCTGAGTAACTAAGGATTATAAGAAATTGTAGATGTTACCACATTTGTAGTTATTTTAACAAATCAGTAAGGTAAATAATAAAAAAAACAAAAACAAAGTTAGTGCGATTTCTGTGTTTTACAGTGTTTGGGACAAGACTTGGAACTGGGTTTTTCCATCATTGTATAACTGGGTAAAAGGTGACAGTTTGGGAAGCTTCAAGGTCTTTAGCCTGATTCAGAATCTCACTGACACTTTCTGAGCCCATCCAAGCCTGGATTATAATAGTTTATAGTTAATAAGAATTTGTAATTGTTAATCAGCAATTGTATATGTAGATTGTCTAATTTACATTTAATTTGCATAAAGGTATTACTGCTTTGAGCAAGTCTGTGTTAGGCTGGAAAACACTTGCTCTCACCCCCACCACTCACTGTCTCTCTCTCTCTCTCTCTCTCTCTCTCTCTCACTCACTCACTCACTCACTCTCTTGATTCTTAGAGTTTTACCCTGCTGATTGTCTTTAAGCTTTTGCCAAAGTCAAGCCCTTGTGTGTGAGGTTGTGTGTGTTTGTGTGAGTGTGTTGACCTGTTGAGTTTGTTTTTGTTATCCATACTTTTAATTGTTTTTCCTTTTTCATGCTACTGTGATCCTGACAAATATTTGTCTTATTAAATTGTTTAATTGTTTTAACTATTTGACATTTAAAATTCAGTGTAAGATCTTCTCCTTTCAGTTTTCAGGGTATACTGCAGCACAGAAATTATGAATGGGTGTTTTTAATACTTTTCTAAGTTTTTCTCACAACCATGCTGTGGTAAATAACCCAACACTAGCATCCATGCTAAAGGCAGGAGGGCATTAAAGACATTAAAATCTATTTTTTTAATGAATTATTTGCTTCCATTATACAATTTGAGTAACATGGTTGTACGTTTAAAGAAATCTTGTCAGTCAATGTCACAATTTCTTGGAAATAAAAAATAACAATAATAAAGAGAAATGGACTTTTCCTTGTCCCGTGATCTTCAGGAATTCTAAAATTTATTTCGGTTATCCAAAATTTCTTCTGAAATTAAAGGTGTTCATGGGAAATTTGTCTCCTCTTTGCTGCAGTAACAGCCTCTGCTCCACTGGGGATACTTTACACTAGATGTTGGAACATTGCTGTGATACATTCAGCCACAAAAGCATTAGCAAGATCAGGTACTGATGTTGGATGGTCAGTTCTGGATCACTCCAGCTCATCCCAAAGGTATCGAATGGAGCTCCATCACTCTAGAGAACACAGTCTCACTGCTCTACAGCCCAGTGCTGGGGGGTTTATACACCTCTAGCTGTTGCTTGGCATGAAGATCAAACAAGCTGTTGAATGCCTGTGTATATTAAAGTAGCTGAACTGACTAATTGCAAAAGTTTGAACACTGGCCAGAAAATAAGTGAACATATCCTCTATAAGGAACAAACTTAAATATGGCAATTATCTGCAAATTTGAGTGCATAATGTCTACTTATTTGAGTTCAACACATTAGAAAAAAATAAAACATGATATAAATTGTGCCAGAACTTTTGCACAGACCACATTTTATGATTTATGTTTTTTTCTCAGTGTATTGAATTTAACAAATAAACAGTAATTATGTTTAAAGTGTGCAGAAGTGTGTTCTGTGTAGAAGATGTATTCACTTATTTTCACTTATAATATCAACAAAACCTGTAATTTGGCCAGCGGTGCCCACTTTTACACACAGTATATGGAGTAGGCAGTTACCTTTATCACTTGAAATCTAGCTTCTTTCAGACATCTGGACAGAGAAACGACAAACAGCACTTGCCTTGTCTCACCTTCGGCCTACGTTACAAAGTTCCCTCATAATGACCATATGGTGAGCAGAGTATGGTGATAGTTAAATGGCCGGAGAAGCCAGGTGTCCCTCCCATGCTGCTGCTCTGTTTACAGAAGCGGTTCCTAATCCTGGACTATTGCCCTGCACAGTTTAGTGTTTTCCCCGCTCTAACATCCCCATTTTAACCTCATGAAAGGCTTTTTATAGAGCTGATGAGTTGGTTCAGGTGTGCTGGAGCAGGGAAAGTATGCAGGGCAGTGAGAGAACAGGATCAGAATTAGGAAACATTGTGCTATCTTGGTCTCCACATACAGATTTATGACCTGTCCATGTCTTGGTCCTGCACTGCACATTTTTCTCCACACCCTGCTTTTCCACACTCGTTTTGACCTAATGAAAGGCTTGGGAATGAGCTAATGAGTTTAGTCAGGAGGTTTAGAGTAGGACACAATGTGCTGTGCAGGGAACCAGAGAAACATGGTTTAAAGGGGAATTCCAGGTTATTCTGGAATTTTGTAGAGCTCAATCTTGAAGGCGTAAACAAATTTATTCAAAGCGGCTTGATACGAAACGCTCCGTTCTAGAGAAACTAGTGAATTGTTCACAACAGTAGTGAAAGGAACCAGACATCCAATGTGTTTAATGCCTCTGAAAGCTGCCTTACTAAAAACTATTACATGAAATCTCAGGATTTGTTCTGCGACCAAAGAAACTCACAAATGTGAGAATTTTCTCCTATGAAAAAATTTTGATAACCACTGTATGATCTTACTTTAATGTCTTTTCAATGTATTATGATCTTTTTTTCATAACAAGTATTAAAATCGAGTAGTATGCCGATGTCTCGGTAGCTAGCTAGCTAAATTTTCCACCTGAAATGATGGAGCAGTTACATTCTCCAACACCAGTTAAGGTGGAACAGGAAAATTCGAACAAAAAGCTGGCGAATAGATAACTTCAGCTTCATATCAGTAAAGAATAGGCATGTGAAGGCATGTGATTCCCTAAATTTAGCTAAAGACCAGCAGTGAGGCTGCTGAACTTTCTCTCTCCTCTACTGGCAGGCTGACCTACAGAGCAGCACCAGTAGCCTGTTAATGAAGTAATGCTCTTCTTTATTTGAGGGTCCCATTTCGTAGGGAAGATTTCAACCACTACCCCTAGTTACTCAGTTCCAAGCGGCAAGGTGACACTCGAAAACAAGGGGTAGGAGTAAAACTAAGAAATAGGATTGAGCCTAAATGTAAAACTCAGAAGACACTTGTAGGCTCACTGGTCATTTTGGATAGTCAATAAAATGACTATTTCCATTGTAGACATCACAACCCCTGGGTTCCTATCAGTGTAAAGAAATCTAAGTCAGAAAGATTGTCTACAATAAAACATTTCACGTTAAACCGCTCTAAATTACTTTGTTTACGTCTCAACAATCAAAAAAGGTATTTCAAATCTTCCTTTATTTCTCTGTATGAGCACTGTTCTGGTTTAAAGAGTTAGAATAATATTTTGGAAAGCAGTTATCAGCAAGTACACCCTCACAGAGTAGATAAACATGAAATAATCAGAATATAACAAAGCACAGCCTGTGGCCTGCTGAAGTAGTCTACACCGTGTGTTACGTAACTGATTAATTTGAATGGCATAACTCCAAACATATTCAGATACAAGCCCACTGATTGGTCTTTAAATGTAAACATAAATAACATTTTAATAAAAGTGGTAGACGATCAATTTAAAACGTGTGCCTTCAATTCTTCACTCTCATAACTACATGACTGAGTGTATATGGCTTATACTAGTTTAACAGCAGTGAGTGAATGTTAATGAGTCTTAAGTTTAATAAGGGAATAATAAGCCTGTAGTTTAAGAGATCATTTGTATCTGCTGTACTTCAGATCTGAGAGTGTTCTACACAATCACCTCATCACAGTCAGTTCATGAATTTAAATGAATTCAAATGAGATTTGTGATAAAATCAGCTCAGCTCCTATTCATATTTGAACAAGCGTCAACAAAAAAGTATTAGATTATTAAGGCTTTGCATTATTTAAGATGAATAAAGAATAGAGGATTGTTGGAAAAGAGTAATCACAACCAGCATTCAGTTAAGCTATTGTACTACGGTGAACTATTATTATTATTATTATCCATCCATCATCTAAACCGCTTATCCTTCTGGGTCGCGGTGGGGTGCTGGAGCCTATCCCAGCTGTCATTGGGCGGAAGGCAGGATACACCCTGGACAGGTCGCCAGTCCATCACAGGGCAGACAGACAGACAAACACATTCACACGCACACTCACACCTAGGGGCAATTTTAGCACGTCCAATCAGCCTGACTGCATGTTTTTGGACTGTGGGAGGAAACCAGAGTACCCGGAGGAAACCCACGCAGACACGGGGAGAACAGGCAAACTCCACACAGAAATGACCCTGGTCACCCGGCCGGGAATCGAACCCAGGCCATTCTTGCTGTGAGGCGACAGCGCTACCCACTGCGCCACCGTGCCACCCATTATTATTATTATTATTATTATTATTATTATTATTATTATTATTATTATTATTACTGCTGTTATTGGTGGTGGTGTTGTTGCTGTTGATGTTATTATTGCAACTACTACACCTATTACTATTACGTCTACTACTACTACTGCTACTGCTACAACTACTGCTTCTGCTACTGCTACTGCTGCTACTACTACTACTGCTACTACTACAGCTTCTGCTTCTGCTACTGCTACTGCTACTGCTACTACTACTACTACTGCTAATGGTACTACTACTGCTACTT